GCCTTAAAACTATGTTTGACCCTGAGACCGAATTAGATGGCATCCAGCTACCACTACCAACTGCTCTGAAAGAGATCTTTTTAGAAGGTCTTGGAAAGAGTTTGAGAAAATGTGGGGGAGAAACTCAGAATCATAAAAAAAGACCAGGGTTATCAGTCCTATAGAAGGAGTGGTAGAACTCCAAGACTATGATCCTTAGTCACCCTTCAGGTCTGGAACTGAACTCCCTCCCTGGCCCCTGGCCCCATAGTTCAATTTTCAGCCCAATAATAAATAGGTATAGAGTGGGATAACAATACTAAAGAGTTGAGCACATTATAGAACAATCAACCATTCAAGATCAAAAAGGCACCATTTACCCAAGGACAACATTCAGAAGGGTTGGGAAAGAACCAGGAATAGAAACAAAAGCTCAGGGAGGAAGTAGGATAAGTGATGTTACATGGAGGAGACTGCAATCAATGAGAAGAAATGAGTGTGATTTGTTGAATGCAAACCTGATGATCAGCTCTGTAAATCTTCACTCAATTCATAACAAAATGCTTTTTTTTTTAAATTATGTTTGAAGAAACACTGATGAGGAAAGAAAACAAATGATCCTGTCAAAAACCAATTAAGAAGAGTGCAAATATGTATTTGGGTCTATGTAGAGGTTTTTAACAAGGAGCTCTGGTAGCGTAGTGGTTACGAATCGGGCTGCTAACCGCAAGGTCAGCAGTTCGAAACTACCAGCTGCTCCGTGGGAGAAAGATGAGGCGTTCTGCTCCCGTAAAGTTTAACAGCCTCGGAAACCCTGTGCAGGGTCGCTATGAGTCGGAACCGACTCCAGGGCACATAACAACAACAACAACAGAGGTTTTTAACACATATTTAGAGATAGATATAAGACCAGAAACATATACCAAAATATTAACAGAATAATAGGTCATGGATGACTACTTTCATTTGTACATTCCAATGTTTTGTTTTACAGTGAATACTGCCCTTTTGGGTCTTTTTCCAGTTAGAACAGTATCCAGAAGATACTTTCCAAGAATTTTTTTTTCTTTTACTTAGACTATTTATTCGTGTGAGAGTGAGTCCTGATGTGGCGCTGTGGGCTAATGCACTGGACTGCAAAATCGGTTTGAACCACAAGGTCGGCGGTTCAAGCCTCACCAGCATCGCCTTGGAAACCCAATACAGGGTTGCTATGGGTCAGAAACAATTCGAAGGCAACTTAACAACAATAATTTATTCTCATGGAAGGCATGGTATAGAAAGGCTATTGAAATGTGAGTAAAACTGTATTAGAGCTTTATATTAACTTGGAAGGGATGACTGGCAATATTTGGTATTTTTGTTCCGTAACAAAGGAGCATGGCAGTGTAGTGATTAAGTGCTCAACTGATAACTGTACAGCTGGCAGTTTGAGTCCACCAGCCACTGGGAACAGTCTGTTTCTATAAAGCCTTGGAAACACTTTAGGGCAGTTCTACTCTGTCCTACAGGTCACTGTGAGTTGGAGACCACTTAATGGCAGTGGGGGTGGGATCCTGCAATGTGGTATCATGCTTTTATTTACTCTCCTATTGTTGTTGTTAGGTGCCATCGAGTTGGTACCGACCCAAAGTGACCTTATGCACAGCAGAACGAAACACCGCCCGATCCTGGGCCAACCTTACTACTGTTGCCACGTTTGAGTCCATTGATGCTGCCACTTAGCCAATCCATCTCATTGGGGATCTTCCTCTTTTTCTCTGACCCTCCACCTTACCAAAAATGATATCCTTCTCCAGCGACTGGTCCCTCCTGACAATATGTCCGAAGTATGAAAGACGAAGTTTGGTCATCCTGGCCTCTAAGGCGCGCTCTGGCTGCAATTCTTCCAAAACAGATCTATTGGTTCTTTCGGCAGCCCATGGCACTTTCAATATTCTCCTATAACACCAGAACTCTCCTAGAGGTTGATAGTTTTTTATACATTTCTTATTAAATTCAGATTTCTGAATATTTTTATGAATGAAATCTAATTTTTATAAAGTCTAAATGATTATTGCTTCTGACATTTTATCTTGTATCTAACCCCTTTGTTGTTGTTGTTGTTATGTGCTGTGGAGTCGGTTCCGACTCATAGCGACCCTCGATAGGGTTTCTGAGGCTGTAAATCTTTACGCGAGCAGAAAGCCTCATCTTTCTCCCGTGGAACAGCTGGTAGTTTCGATTGCTGACTGTGAGATTAGCAGCCTGATCCATAACTACAACGCTACCGGAGCTCCTTTAACCCCTTTAATGACAGCAGTAACTACAAAATATGGATTTCTATAATCATTTAAGGAGCTCTGGTGATGCTGCAGGATAAGCACTGGACTGCTAACCTCAAGGCTGGCAGTTCAAACCCACCAGCTGCAAAGTAATCCTAGACAGGGTTGGCTAAGAGCGAGAATCAACTTGCTGGCAGAGGATTTGGTTTTATAACCATTTAGCAATTTTCTTTCCATTCACTATTTTTTTACTCCATTTATATAGCATGTTTTACTGTTTTGTTCAGAGCTTCCAAAACATTAAGAGCTATGAAGAAGACATCATTATTTTTTAAAAGCTATGCTTCTAGCATGTAACTTGAGGCACGGTGTTGTTGGCTGCAGGTCTAAAATTGATCTTTCCTGCACATATGCCAAGATAAATTCCAGATGGCTGAAATCTTTCATGTAACCACAGAGAGACTACAAGTACACAAAGTAGGATATTTATCAAAAAGGTTTGCTATAAATAAATCTGAAACTTCCAATATTGGGGTAGGAAAAGGAGGAGGAAGACAATTTGGAGAAAATATTTACAGCAAATATGACAAAGGTTGAGAACTTAAAAAATAAGTAAAAAAAAAAACCCACCCCATTATAATCAAGGCAGAATGCATAGAAAAATGCCACGAACAGAAAATTTCCAAGAGTAAATTTACAACTAGTAATGAAGCATGAAAAACTCAACCTTCTTCCTAATAAAAGAAGGAAAAGGCCATTTTTTGTTTGATAAATTAATTTGAAGAATATCCAATGCCCAGAAAGATATACATACATCACTCTGAAATGTAATTTAATTGTTTGGGAAAGAAATTTATCAATATAGTGTTAAAATTACTGTACCCAAAAGAATTGATATAAAAAGTAAAAGTAATACTTAAAACATGGCTAGTGATTAAACATACAGGTGTATACATTTGTCAGACCTTATGAAATTTCATAATTTTAATGGGTGTGTTTTATTCTTTCTAATTTATATCTCAGCATTGGTGGTTCTGTACGATAAACACTGGACTGCTAACCACAAGGTCCATGGTTTGAACCCACCAGCGCTCTGCAGGAGAAAGATGAGACTTTCTGTTCCTGTAAAGGTTTACAGCCTCGGAAATCCTCTACAGAGTACTATGAGCCAGAACCAATTTGGTAGCGTAGTGGT